GTGAGCAGCAGTTTCTCATTACAGAGAGCAACCTCTTCCACCAAGTATCCATGCTGAAGAAGATGGGCAGCTTCAGTGAGTCTTTCAGCATCTCCTACGACTGGGCCGTCAACTTCATGCTGAAGCACGAGCTCGGCATAAAAAGCATCGGCATCGAACCCACACTTACTCGCACTTTACCAGCGTTCCTGGACGCCAAAGTCAAGTCTTTTCAAACCTTTACCCAGAAGATGGTGCAGGATCACAAGCTCTCTGAAAGCTCAGTTGCTGCCATGGACGAGCTTTCGCTCTTTGTGGACATGAGGTTGATTCAGGATGAGGGCCGTCGTTTGGAAGCCTTGGAACTTACTGGGACGATTCCTCTGGCCACGGTGTACCTGGTAACACTAGCAGATGGGACCATGCTGCCCTCTTTGTTGCTGGCAACTCGCAATCTGGCCAATAAAAACCTTCCGGAGTTTATCTGGCTGGAAACTGTCTCAGAGGCGCTCTCAGCAGAAGAAGCCTTGGATCTTTGGATCAAGAAAGTCTGGATAACGCACCTGTCTAATGGACCTCAGCCAAAAAAATCAATGCTTATTTTGGACCAACACCGGGAACACGCGGGGGATCATTTTCTTAGTTCCATCAGTGGGTTGGGTACCCTCCCCGCGTTAGTTCCAGGTGGAGGCTCCTTTAACCTTCATCCTCTGGAAATGTGCATGAAGCCAGTGCTGCAGCGCTACGTGCTGTGGCAGTGGGCAAAGTTTACGGCAGAAAAACCAGCAGAGCTGGAGGAGGACTCGCCTCAGCAGCTTCAGGAACATGTCCTTCAGAAGTTGGTGGACTGGTTGGTGGAGGCTCTGACGCACCTAAACAAACTCCAACAGATGTGGAAGACGTCCTTCAGGCTGACGGGCCTTTTGAAGAAACAAGATGAGCACAAAGAAGACACGGGTCAGATCCAACTGGACCTCCTCAAGACTCTGACTGAAACCCTGCTCGGTGCTGACGCCCTGAAGGAAAATCCTCCTCATCTACACGAGCCCGACGACAGGGAGGACACTGAGAAGAAACCAGGAGGACGAGGACTAGAGTCTCCAGAGGAGAAACCAGAAGGACCACTAGAGGCTCAAGTAAAGGAAGAGAAGAAAGAGACAATAGAGGAAGAAACAACCGGGGATGAAGACAAAGGAGAAGATGCAAAATCAGACGACAGTGAGGTGGACGCAAAAGAGACAAAGGAGGACAAAGAGGTCAACAAGGAGAGACGGGAGTACAGGATAGTGATTGGAGAGGATGTTGGGGACGAGTGGACAGTAAAGAGCAGGACAGAAGGAACAGAGGCTGGTAGAGATGACAACGGGGTGATAGACAAGAGCTGAACTAAAGGGAAAAGACAAAAAGGACCAAATGTCTTCTAAGGTTCAGCCCTAGATGAAGGTTGAACGGGATGTTGATAACAAGGTACTAACCAAAGCTGGGACACATGTCGGTCAGGCAAACCCTGCCCATACTTGCACTTGTTGTCCCTTTGTACTGTCCAGAGGTGCTGGTCTTCTGCAGCCCAGTGTAGTGTGCTGTGCTACAGGTGGAACTGGCTCCAAACCAGATGGACAAGGTGGATCTGTCCAGGTTGATCCAGTCCAGGTGGGCAGGGTGGATGTAGTCCAGGTTGATCTGGTCCAGGTGGACCAGTGGATCTATTCCATGTTGTTTACATTGGTCAACTCCAGATGGAAACGTTGATCCGGTTGATTTGGTTCTGTTGTTCCAGTCCTAACAGATCCGGTCCGTGTTAATTTGATAATGTGCTGATGTGATTGTGTCTCAGTGTTAAACATGTTCTGTTTTTTTGACAGTAAAAAAAAAAGTATAAATAATAAACAGTTGTTTCCAAAATACCTGTCTCCAAATACCAGCAGTTCCTGGAGGTAGGTTTCCCAACATGCACTGTGTGAAATATCTGGAATGTTTTTCCCAAACCAAGGAACGTGTATGAATAAAAAGCTAAAGTGTTTAGTTTTTTATTATTTAAAATGCTCTTTACTGCTTCATCCTGACTTCGAGAGCAGAGTTTGAGGTTTATTCTAAAAAAAAACTAGGGCAAGGACTTTAACACGATTTTTTATTCATTATTTACATAAAAAATAATAATAAAAAAAACATTAGTCATTTATATTTATTTATTATATATTTAATTCTGAACATCTGAAGTCTACATCACAACAACATCACAGTCTATTTGTAACTCCACAAGTCTCAGCAGTTATTAAATCATGTCTATTTTTATATTTACACTATAAAACCAGGAAGTGTTTTTATTTTTTTTCCTGGGTTTAATCTTGTTCCTCACACGTATGACTCCAGCTTTGAAAAGAAACAATCACTAATCCTGTAATTGCACAAATGTGAGCCTTTTACTTTTACTTCATATTTATTTTAAAATGCGTTTTCATACATTTTTTATCAAACTTCTGACTTCACCTGAGACCCTGAGGTCTTTGCTGTGGAGCAAACCTGTTTACGACAGACAGAACTGCGATTTGAACCGCGTCTAGAAACGGACCGTTAGTTCATCCGCAACAAGTCCAACTCTGTGGAGAAGTTTCAAGTTTGTGGCCAATGCAGGGTTAATGTTCAGTGGTCTTCTTCATTGGTGCCATGTTCCTGGTCAAACTCCACCCCCCAGGGTTTTCACGTAGTACTTTCTGACTAAGTTCAGGTCAGATAGGATCTGGATCTGGATCGAGTCAGACATTTAAGTTCCCCAGACAAAACGGAATTTGAGACTGATCAGTTCAGACCAGGACCAGGACCAGGACCAGGATCAGAACGCTGACATGGGTGAGTCCTCTGCAGCCTCTGCTGGCTCATGTGTTCATCCTGTCTCATTCTAGGACATTAACGTTAACTCTTGCAACACAAACTCACAATTGAACAGTCTGCACTTGCAGTCAGGTTCTTTTTTTTATATATGGCTGCAGCCTGAGCGAATGTAAAGCAGAACAGAACATTTGTCTTCAGAGCAGCTATAATCTATACTGTAATCTGTACCATTTATTCACGTACACCTTACGTTTACAATTACCTGAAAAACTGGCTCGTGCTTTTTGTTAGAACCATCTGCCATCGTCCACACCCGAATCAAATGACAGCTGCTGTTGTTGAAGTTATTTGTGCTTTTTTTTTCTCTTCCCGCCACACTCTGCAGAGTTGTTCTTTTTCTGTTTTGTTTTGTACGAACGGAATCTGACCCAGTGCTGCTGAAATGCCCTTCGAGCTTCAGGGGAGAGGAAGTCAAACCTCTTCACAGATCATTGTAAAAGACACTGTGTGTTTATGTCTGTGTGTGTTCTACTGTACTGCACACACTGTACAAAGGTCTAATGCTGGTCAGACTGTAGTATGATTGATTAAAAGCAGTAAAATCTGGTTTAGTGAGGCTGACACCAGAGCAGGCATGGGCAAACTATGGCCCGGGGGCCGGATGCGGCCCGTTTGTAGTTGTAATCCAGCCCACAGAACTTGTCCAGATTGTATGATTAATTTATATATTTTCATTTCACTTCTGCCTTTTTCTTTCCTGCAATGCATGCATTTCCCCACTAAATGGCATAGAAAAGGCTAAAAGCGTTTTAGCATTTTAGCTTTGTGCATGACTTTATCTTACTTCACACAAACGCTCCATTTATCTGCTCCTGACCCGGCCCCCATGACACATTTTATGCCCCACTGCAGCCCACAAGTCCAAAAGTTTGCCCACACCTGCACTAGAGTCATATGGTCCTGTGTATATATATATATATATATATGTGTGTGTGTGTGTGCGTGTGTGTATACTTTAACTATATAACTCATCTATTTAGTCGTCAACTGAACCATCTTGTTGTTTGTCTTTGCCTGTGCGCACCGGTTCGTCGTCTCCTTATCTGCTCAACAGTTTGGACTGGTTCATGAGAAAGAGGGCGGAGCCTGACTTCTCCTGGTTAGTGGCAGTTGTTGTCAGAGTCTGCTGCCATTAAAAAAAACAAAAAAACAAATGTTTACAGACCCTGTCACATCCCTTATGCAACCACACAGTCCTTGGCCAGAGCAGATTGTACTAATATTGACTATCAATGATGAAGAATAAATCAGACTTTTTTGTAAACATTTGACATTCAGTTATTTGGATGTTTGGACGAAAGTCTCCAATGTCAGACTTTAAAAATGTGTGTGGGTGTTTTCCACTTCTTTTAAAACAGCATAAATATTTTAGTGGGTGTTTTCCTCTTCTTTTAAAACAGCATAAATATTTTAACTACATAGACACAGATGTTCGTCTGACTCAGCTAATGCCTGCAGTTTGTTTGCAAAGAGACATGAAGCCTATTTTGGCTTCAAATACCATATTTGACTTTCAAATACACAGATGATTCACATCTTATCATTCCCTCTGTCACCGAGAGTGCACGGACACTGCCCTCTGTCTGCTTTTTACTCTTACTATCTGTACGTTGTTAGAATAATGCAATAACGTTTCCAGCTTTGGCTCATGAGATGGACTGGGTCAATGGACGAGGTCAAAGCCGGTCAGGGGTCAAAGCAGGTCAGGGGTCAGAGTGGGTCTGAGGTCAGAACAGGTGTTTTTTTCCCACCGGTGGAGTCACAGTTAGAAGTCTGATCTTATCATCATCATCTTGTTGTTGTTGTTGTTGTTGTGGCTCCTCTGTGTCTGATTAATAAATGTCCCGCAGAGTGTCTCCCTGTGTCCTGTTGTTGTTGACATGTTGGTTTATCTTATTTTTTTCTTCATTAATGAAGCTCCCGCTGAGCTCTGCTCCTCTGTTTCTGCATCAGTCTGATAAAAACAGGACACAGAATCCTCCTCTGTCCATCTTCGCCGCGCGTCAACTCCGAGACGCAGCGATATACCGCACGGCTATGACAACCCTTCAGGGATGACAAGAGTCGTCCATCCATCCATCTACGAGACACTGTCTTCTGTGTGGACGTCCCTGTCCTTCAGACTCTCATGTCTGTCACCTGTTGTTGTGTTTTTTCAGCCAACTGTTCAGGATGTGGACCAGGATACCGCAGTCCTCTGGATGCCATGAAAGGTGAGACGGCTGTGTGTCTTTGTTGTCTGTAATCTAACATCACACCACGTGAATTAATAGTGTCAGTGTTTTAAAGCTGTCAAATGTACTTGATTTCATACATTTGACCACAGGAGGCAGCACTGCAGCAGCAGTTCTCATGAACTAAGATCATTGATCTTGTTTTTTTTGTCCTTCCAGGTCCTCGAGAGCAGATTGTGTATTTGCCCTGTGTTTACCGCAGCACTGGCATCCAAAAATCTGACTATCTGGCTACTGTGGACGTGGATCCCAAGTCTGCCACCTACTGTCAGGTATGAGAGCTCTGGACCTGGTTCCTTACCCTGATTGGTCACTGGTCACTGACCCTGGACCCTCCTCCCCCTCAGGTCATCCACAGGCTGCCCATGCCCAACCTTGGAGATGAGCTCCATCACTCCGGCTGGAACGCCTGCAGCAGCTGCTTCGGAGACGCCTCCAAGAAACGGAACCGTCTGATTCTGCCGTCCCTAATGTCATCCAGGATCTACGTAGTTGACGTGGGGACCGATCCTAAAGCCCCACAACTACATAAGGTACCAGCCAATCAGAGATAAGAATGCAGTCCGAGTCAGTTGTACTGTCCACCCCACCTGTTTGAGAATGTGAACTTGTCTGTCCTCAGATGGTGGAACCCACTGAACTGTTCTGGAAGTGTAACTTGGCGAATCCTCACACTTCTCACTGTCTGGGCAGCGGACAGATCATGATCAGCTGCCTGGGCGACCCATCTGGCAACGGCAAGGGTGAGATTCTCACACTCCTTTCTCCCCAGAGTTGCAGGTTGTCGGTGGGTGTGTCTTCTCACCGGCTGTGGTCCTCTCAGGTGGCTTTGCGTTGCTGGATGGAGAAACCTTCGATGTGATCGGGAACTGGGAGCATCCCGGAGAGGCAGCCCCCTTTGGATACGACTTCTGGTACCAGCCACGGCACAATGTGATGATCAGCACAGAGTGGGGTGCTCCAAAGTATCTGGCTGGGGGTTTTAACCCTGCCCACGTCGCAGAAGGTGAGCTTCAGAGACCGGTGTGATGTCACTGGGACAGGTGTCGTGGCTGACCGGTTGGGACCTGTGTTCTGCAGGTCACTACGGCAGCTCTCTGCACATCTGGGACTGGACCACCCACGAGAAGCTGCAGACCCTGGACCTGGGACCAGAGGGAGCGATTCCTCTGGAGGTTCGATTCCTCCATGACCCTGATGCTACAGAAGGCTTTGTCGGATGTGCTCTGAGTTCCAGCGTGTTTAGGTTCTACAAGACACCGGTCAGTACCACTACTGCTTACTGACAAGTTCCTCCAGACTGGAGTCTATTTGTACAAGTGTTTTTTTTTTGTTTCCAGAAAGGAGACTGGGGTTTGTACAAGTGTTTTTTTGTTTCCAGAAAGGAGACTGGGAGGCAGAGAAAGTGATCAGTGTCCCCAACAAGAAGGTGGAAGGGTGGGCGCTGCCCGAGATGCCAGGTACCTCTCTGACCAGATACCTTTGATCCTGAGGGAGTGCCTGTCTGTACTAGTACTGGTCTGTCTGTTCTAGTACCTGTCTTTCTATATGACCCAGTCCCTGCTGGTCTTTTTAGGATTGATCACAGACATCCTGATCTCTTTGGACGATCGTTTCCTTTACTTCAGTAACTGGCTGCACGGCGACATCAGGCAGTATGACATCACAAACAGGAGGAAGCCACGATTGGTCGGACAGGTCAGATTTTTAAAATACTGCAGAGGAGAAGCAGGTGTGAGACGAGAGCATTTATGACAGACAAGTCTGATTTCAGGTATTTCTGGGAGGAAGTCTGGTCGATGATGGACCAGTGAAGGTTGTAGACGATCCAGACAACAAGCCACAGCCTCCACCACGCATCATTAAGGTGAGGGAACACAGAGGGACAATCATCGACAGTCTTACCTGTCTGTCTGACCTCTCTCTGGCCTTTTTCTTTGACCTCTGTGTCTGATTTCCCTTTGACCTTGCTGTGTGACCTCTGTCTGACCTCCGTCTCACTCTTCAGGGAAGGCGTGTCACTGGAGCTCCTCAGATGTTACAGCTGAGTTTGGATGGACAGAGACTTTATGTGACAACATCTCTGTTCAGCGCCTGGGACAAACAGTTCTACCCAGAAATGATCAGGTACACACACCACTGGGAGTACAACCGTCAGCTTCACAGCTGAACTATCATGCAATTCTAATACTACTACAGTACAACCACCATAAAATTGATTACCATAAAAACCTTAAGAACTTCTGATACAATGTAAATATTACATGGCTACTAGTTCAATAGGTTATTGCAACTGTTTTGCAATAATACAGTTATACTGTTATAGTAATGCCAAAGTAAAACCACTGCAGTACAGGTGTTAAACGTGTGCTTCTTGCAGTATGAGTGCTGTTTTGTTTCTGTCACGGACTTGTCAGATTATTGACGTTGTTGTCACGTCCTCATGTTGTTGTCTGTTTGTGTTTGTTGTGTGTTTGTTTGTTTGTTACAGAGACGGCTCTGTGATGATGCAGATAGACGTGAACACCGTCAGTGGAGGTCTGACCCTCAACGAGAAATTCCTGGTGGATTTTGGGAAGGAACCTGACGGGCCTGTTCTTGCTCATGAACTCAGGTATCCTGGAGGAGACTGCACATCTGACATCTGGATCTGAAACAACAAACCAAAATAAATGTCACAAAAATTATCAATGTTTCTTCATTTTTTTTATACAATAAAATGCCCAATGCTAATGATGCTTGTGATGCCGATTCCTCTAAAAATGTGGACTTTCTGGATGAATTTCTTCCTTTTTTTTACCCTATTAAGGCTTTTTCTTGGGAGTTGTTCCTCAGCTGATGCGAGGGTCCATAAAGGCCTTCTTTCTTTCTTTTTGTTTCTTGCTGTCTTGATGTAATGTAATGTAAAACATTTCAAGGTTGCATTGTGTATGAATTGTGCTCTATAAATAAATAAAATTGAATTGAATTGACTTTTAACAATAAAATAATAAATAATAATAAGGAGAAGAAGAGGGAGACTAAGATATACATACTGTATATCAATGTGGTTCATTGAAAACAAGCAAAAATTAGAAAGCCCATAGACATAATCTAACGTAAGCTTACACAATGTCGACCCCTACATTTTGAAATTGAAATTACAGTAGGCGCTGTTGCTGTTAAGAATTGTCTACGTGGCTCTGATTACTCCGGTGCAACAGGTGGCGCTGTAAGACCGGAAGCGGCAGTCACGAAGTCGGGAGGAGGAGTAGGAGGAGGAAAGAGTTGTAGGTAAACTACAGATGGGCTGTGAGAGAATCAATGGAAAACAAGTGGAGATAAACGAAAAAAAGTGATTTTTCACTGAGCCGCCAGGTAACTGACCAGAACAGACAAGATGGTCACTGGATAAATGAAGCTAACGTTAGTTTAGCACATAGCATCTCCAAACCTAAACACTGACGGCAACAGTTGGTCCAGAGTCTGCTAATGCTAATGTTAACGGTGACAAGAGTACAAAGTAGCGGTGCAGTGGTGACGTAGCATGAAGCTAGTTAGCATCAGAAGCTAACTGTTTGGTTGTTTATCTTAACAGGATAACAGTGAGTGTATAACTGTGTTTGTTTAGATGACAAGGTTAGTAATCGTTTTGTTACTAAGTAACTGTTAGTTAGTTATCGCTGTTTGCGAGTTACTCTCAATTTAGTTTAGATGGATTAGCTGCTGGTAAAATGTTGGTTAGCATCTGTCGCTAACTAACAACTAGTTGTGCCGCTTTGTAGCTGCTGGTTATTTGGTTTTAACATGTTGGTTTGTTTCCACTGAATAGGTACTATCAATGTCAAGTTAAGCCCAGTTTTGTTTGATGGTTAGCAGTAGCTTTTATTAGGTATTTATTGTTCGGTAAGCCACCTCTGGTTGTCTTCTGTTATTTGAGTTTTAGATGGTGTTCAATAACTGGTTAGATGTTGATTTGCTGCAGTTAACAGAGTTGTGTGTCTGATGCTGTAATGTAATAGTAGTAACATTAAAACTTTCTGAACCAGTATGGCAGTGTTTGTTGATGTGAAGGGCTAAAATATCGCACAACAGCTAAAGTCTAAAGTGTTAGTGTCAATAATAAACATCGGACACACACAAGTTAACACACATTTTTACATAGATGGAAAACTTAAAGGTTCATTAATTCTATTTACAGGTTGATTTAAACAATGTCATTTTAGTTTTACATTTTCTTCTGTTATTCTTAATTTATTCTGGAACTGATTAAATCAAGTAGACAAGGGTGAAAAAAACTGAACTTATTCTTTGTTGTTTGTCATGTGACTGTGATCACATGGTCTCAGCCCAAGACAGTTAGTTGCTAATACTGTAGCTGCAATTTATTTTCTTTATTCCTCATGCTAAAGTCATAGAAGTTACAAATCATAAAATACTTTTACTACTAAACAGAAGCAGATTTCAGGTTAGCAGTTTGTCAGAAAAAGTTTTTAAAAAAATGCTACACTTGTGTGATTTGCTGTGTTTACTTGGGTTTAGCTGATGTCATCACTGACTTGTGACAGACTCAGACTTCCTCATCAGTGTAAATCTGTGCTGTTGGCTTTCAATCAGATGCTGATTTTGTGATTTCTCTGGCTAATACAACCATTGTCAGATGCTGATTTTGTCTCTGTGATTTCTCTGGCTAATACAACCATTGTCATCACCTCTGACCTCTGTTTCACTAGAGGAGGGCGGAGCTTTCCTGCACCCCAATGGAGGACACAGAGCTGGAGATATCACCTGCCCCTTCTGACCAGAACAGCCCTTCCCTGTCCATCTCCTCCTCCTCATCTCCCTCCGTCTCTCTCCCCTCCACACCTTCCTCGTCCTGTGGCTCCACACAGCCCGTTGCCCCCCTTTTGGGTGTAATCAACGAGGGTGTGTGTGAGCTCAGTTTGGTTATAGATGCTGAGGTGGCTCAACGTGCATGTCACGAGGTTCTACAGAAGGTGAAGCTGCAGCAGGTGGGGTCTGATGATGTCACTGACTTACATGAACAAACGGATCCAGTGGTCCCAGGGGGCCCCAGTGGTCCCATTGCTGCTGAGGAGGAGGCCAAACCCGAGGGCCTGGTGCCCGGAACTGTGAAGAGCACGCGACGGCGGCAGAAACACAATCCCTCCAAACAGTCCTGGTTGCTTCGCCTCTTTGAGTCTAAACTTTTCGATGTCGCCATGGCGATCTCATACCTACACAATTCTAAAGAGCCCGGAGTCCAGGCCTACATTGGCAACAGACTCTTCAGTTTCTCCCATGAGGAGGTGGACTTTTACCTGCCACAGCTACTCAACATGTACATTCACATGGACGAGGATGTGGGTGATGCCATCAAGCCATACGTGGTGAGTTCACAACATCCAACATCAGAGTGAATTAGTGAGAATTCAAACAAAATTTTCTGCATTTCCCGGAAATTGAATCTGAACTCTTATTTAAATCTTAACATTCTTTAAAGTGAGTTTATGTGTGCTAACTTTCTGACAAATAAAAGCTTGTTCAATCACTGGCTGGCTGATGGGTGCATCTCTAATTTCTCCTATTTAGTGTGTTTCCTCAGACAATCTTCATTCTCTACAGGTTAAAATCTCACCTCCACAAATGCGTGGTAATTACCATTGGTTAACATAAACAAATTAAGGCATAAGGAGTAGGCTGTGTTATCTCACAACGTCAGTGGTCATACCATGAGACTACACACTCTAGTACAGTAGGTGGCGGCACA